ACAGTCTTGAACTTCAACGTTTAACGATGGATAACGATCACTACATGAAAGAAACCTGATATCGCAGTCTCTCTGTTCATCTGGCCGTTATAAATGAGTCTCGACACGTAATGTCAGCATACAATAGCGTGGTATCATATACTACTCAAAAATAGTAGGGGATAACAATGAGTGTCACAACTATACATTTTATATCTCTACTGTTGCGGGAATATTCTTAAAAGCCATTCACCCATAATATCTTTAATGCGTGTAACCGGCACATCCAACTGAGATTTGCATTCGACTGTCGTTGAGCGTCGGATGACCATATATGTTGTTACATGATTGATCAAAGCGCCCTACTATTCATTACGTCATTTACCATTAAACGTCAGACTCGTGAACCCGCCTATTTTCTCGAGACAATCCCTTATTGAGTGAGGCGTACTCCTAACCAAACGTCCAATGTCACCTTGGTTCATAGACTAACGCTTAGTCTCTGAATATATAACCCATTTCAATTGAAAAGGAGCCCCAGTAGAGCTTTAGCATTGCAGGGAGGGCTAGGCAGTAGGGGAAATAATGTGGTTCAGGGACTGTGAGACAGACTACATTGCAGGGAGGGCTAGGCAGTAGGGAAAATAATGTGGTTCAGGGACTGTGAGACAGACTACATTGCAGGGAGGGCTAGGCAGTAGGGAAAATAATGTGGTTCAGGGACTGTGAGACAGGCTACATTGCAGGGAGGGCTAGTCAGTAGGGAAAATAATGTGGTTAAGGGACTGTGAGACAGACTACATTGCAGGGAGGGCTAGGCTGTAGGGAAAATAATGTGGTTCAAGGACTGTGAGACAGACTTCATTGCAGGGAGGGCTAGGCAGTAGGGAAAATAATGTGGTTCAGGGACTGTGAGACTGACTACATTGCAGGGAGGGCTAGTCAGTAGGGAAAATAATGTGGTTCAGGGACTGTGAGACAGACTACATTGCAGGGAGGGCTAGGCAGTAGGGAAAATAATGTGGTTCAGGGACTATGAGACAGACTACATTGCAGGGAAGGCTAGGCAGTAGGGAAAATAATGTGGTTCAGGGACTATGAGACAGACTAAATTGCAGGGAGGGTAGGCAGTAGGGAAAAGAATGTGGTTCAAGGACTGTGAGACAGACTACATTGCAGGGAGGACAAGACAGTAGGGACAATAATGTGGTTCTGGGACTATGAGACAGACTACATTGCAGGGAGGGCAAGACAGTAGGGACAATAATGTGGTTCTGGGACTATGAGACAGACTACATTGCAGGGAGGGCAAGACAGTAGGGACAATAATGTGGTTCTGGGACTATGAGACAGACTACATTGCAGGGAGGGCTAGGCAGTAGGGAAAATAATGTGGTTCTGGGACTATGAGACAGACTACATTGCAGGGAGGGCAAGACAGTAGGGACAATAATGTGGTTCTGGGACTATGAGACAGACTACATTGCAGGGAGGGCAAGACAGTAGGGACAATAATGTGGTTCTGGGACTGTGAGACAGACTACATTGCAGGGAGGGCAAGACAGTGGGGACAATAATGTGGTTCTTGGACTGTGAGACAGACTACATTGCAGGGAGGACAAGACAGTAGGGACAATAATGTGGTTCTGGGACTGTGAGACAGACTACATTGCAGGGAGGACAAGACAGTAGGGACAATAATGTGGTTCTGGGACTATGAGACAGACTACATTGCAGGGAGGGCAAGACAGTAGGGACAATAATGTGGTTCAGGGACTGTGAGACAGACTACATTGCAGGGAGGGCAAGACAGTAGGGACAATAATGTGGTTCTGGGACTATGAGACAGACTACATTGCAGGGAGGGCAAGACAGTGGGGACAATAATGTGGTTCTGGGACTATGAGACAGACTACATTGCAGGGAGGGCAAGACAGTAGGGACAATAATGTGGTTCTGGGACTATGAGACAGACTACATTGCAGGGAGGGCAAGACAGTAGGGACAATAATGTGGTTCCGGGACTGTGAGACAGACTACATTGCAGGGAGGGCAAGACAGTAGGGAAAAGAATGTGGTTCAGGGACTGTGAGACAGCGTAGCCTCTAGGTACTCTATAATATAACAGGGGCTTTTGTGCTCTTGCGTTGTCATCATGAAACACAAAACGACACCCATGCCAATACGTATGTCACCAGGATGTTGTCACGATAGTACTGCCAAGTGGCATCTCAGTAAGTAGCATATCAAGGTGTTCTGTCAGTCATAGTGATCCAACCCACCAGTACCGGGTCGCCCCCAAAACGACAGTTGTATCAAACGTTAACGGCATGAAAACGCTCATACTGTGTACGCCACACTATGTCGGTCTGTCAAGGAAGTCTAAAGTAAACCAACCCGTGTAGATCCTGGTTAGAATTGATCTTCAGTAACCCATGCTTTTCGTAAGAGGCGACTTACAGAATCGGGTGGTCAGGCTCGCTGACAGCCTTGACACGTCATCGTATCCCAGTTGCGTAGATAGATGCCCATGCTTTTGATCACTGCATCGTCTGGTCCAGACTCGATTGTTTACAGTCCGCCGTCATATAGCTGGAATATTGCTGAACTCGGTGTTAACATACACACAAAGAGACCAAAGCAAACATTGATTCATCAGAAGACTTATCGTTGGCCCAACGACTCTTGGTCCACTGGTTTTGCAGTAATAAGACGGTTCGTCAATTGTGGGTTAACTCGTGGACGTCGGGCAACCAGGTTCCATCTGTCGACACATTCTAACACCTCTAACTCTATGAAGCTCATCTCCAATTTGGGACGGTGGGGTAGCCTAGTGGTTAAAGCGTTGGCACGTCACGCCGAAGACCCGGGTTCGAATCCCACATGGGTACAATGTGTGAAGCCCATTTCTGGTGTCCCCCGCCGTGATCTTGCTAGAATATTGCTAAAAGCGGAGTAAAACCAAACTCAGTCAGTCAGTCAGTCATCTCCAATTTAAGACACATTTTAACCACGATTTCGGAACTCTGCCATTCTGACCAGATCGACCTCTGTTATCAGCGTTGTCTCTGCTAATTTCTGACCGTCAAACGTTACGAGCTCGTGCCAGAATGCTCTATCTTATTCAAATTGCTGGTAACGGTTCCTCACGTGACAGATGCCGCACAAAACGTTTGATTGAGTTAAAAACAATATCTGAACAACCCAGGGTCTGGTTTTCATTACGGTCTAAAATATAGCTATGATACCAATATCAAAATACATCACAGTTGAATAAAGTCTGGCTTACAGACCAAGGAGAACATATTCAAAAAGGGGTCATGTCGAAAAAATCTTTTTTATTTTTTTTTTCCCCCATGTTTTTATTCCCAGAATTATGTTTACAAACTTTACCTCAGTAGTACAGTACAGGTAGCTTCTTAGTATGCAAGTACAGTGTTTCTTTGATCTCATTGTCAAATAACATGCTGTTCACATGGATGTAAAAAACGGTAAAAAACAAAGCATGTATATGAAGTGTTACATGTTTACAGATTTTACCTCGGTAGTACACAGTACAGTACAAATCGTTTCATTGTACACAAGTACAGTGTTTCCTTTGTCACTCACTGTAACATCATGCTGTTCACAAATATGCAAAATGATCTAACTAAGCATGTCTAGAATTGTCTGGCAAGTGTAGATTAGTTCAGCTCTATCCTAAAGATTTGGTCTGGACTTCTTGTGGATTTCATTAGTATTTCTGTAGAGATATATCCATGGAAACGAAATAAGGGAACACATGAAACTACACGTGTTCCTTTATTTATTTCCAGAATTTCACCCACTGTCCACTACTATCATGTGTTCCCTTATTCGTTTCCATGAGTATATTTCTAAACTACGATAACTATATTTCAAATAATAATCATCATTTCTAATTTGTTTCATCAAATATGTTCTCGTCACGATATGGCTGCAATATTGCCGATGTGACGTTAAACAATAACTCACTCACTCACTCTAATTTGTTTCACTTTTACGGGTGCTTAATTTCTTTTTCCTGACAGTGTATTTCCCATATCATAAACCTGAGTGTTGACTGGCACTGACAAGGTAATTCCCTCAAAGATGATTCAATTTGCGAATTTCCTTAATTCATCTGCTGAATTATTTCTTGCAACTTCGTTATTTAAGAAAAGTTGTTCTTTAAGATACAATGTCAGCGTGGATAATTAACAAAAATATATATGCTTCCATTACACACAGCTAGTTTATTGCTAGAGAAGAGCACGCTTCATCCTTTACAGACTTGGGTCCCGATCCACAAAGCGTTCGTAACTTTACGACCTGTCGTAACTCTATGGTTTACCATAGGCTTACGCACGCTTCATGGATCGAGACCTTGGTTTTGCAATTCTATATTTTTGAGTCTATCATGGATTTAAGCATATTATCTTTACGTGACATATGCGTTTATAGCTATCGTTTGTGTTGTACTTTATACATTTCCTATATGGAAATACTGCAGTGCGTAAAGGACAATGTACTCTTTTAAATCTATTAGATATATTTTTAAGCAGACGTCAACAAATAATATAACATATGTTATATTTGGGATTACACTTTCTCAGTAAAGTACAGATTCTAGTACTTTTTTGGGTTGAGTCTCATCCGGGATTCGAACCCACACCCTCAGAGTCAGGCACCTAATCGCCAGCACACAAAGTCAGACGCCTAGACCGCTCAGCCACCGCTGAGAAAGTGTAATCCCAAATATAACATATGTTACATTTGACCACTTTCTAAATGGCATTGTGTATGTCAACAAATAAGCTTGGGACAATAAGAATTCGTTCTAAAATCAGCCAACATTAAATAAACACACACACACACACACACACACACACACACACACACACACACACACACACACACACACACACACACACACACACACTATCATATATTGTGACTTTGCATTGTTTAAATGGCAAAGACAAATTTATAGGGAATTTGTTGTAAACAGAATCAAAACTCACCACAAAAATAACATTGAGCAGTATCAGCATACATTTTCCAATACTTGTACAGGTTCCCATCGTGCTGTAGTCGTATTGAACCGTATTGCTCCTCTGTCTTGTTTCTGCTGCGGTCTTGGCTGTATGCCTTTTATCCAATACTTCCTCTGCCCGTTGTCTGCTGTCGTGAATACCCGTTTATAGGTACATTTTTCGCTGTTACGACATACAGCGCCCGTTTTTTCCTGGAAGCGACGCCTGACGAGTCTCCGTGTGTGGCTGTGAAAGGGTCATCGTGTGTCATAGAGCATGTTGATGTTAAAGGGGTTATACCCATATGGCTAATTGATTCAGCGTGTTCTGTCATTGCTGTATGTCTGTTATATTGGTACCTTGTATTTCCTTTAGCTTGATCATATTAAAGGTATGCGCCATATAACACATGATAGATTGATTGGTGACTGACTGACTGACTGATAGATTGATTGATTTTGGTTGTTAGTTGGTTTTGGTTGGTTGGTTGGTTGGTTGAACGATCGATCGTGCAATCAATCAATCAATCAATCAATCAATCAATCAATCAGTCAGCCAGTCAGTCAGTCAGTCAGTCAGTCAGTCAGTCAATCGGTCAATCGATCAATCGATCAATCGATCAATCGGTTGGGTTGGTGTCCTAAGTTAGCCATGTTCTAGTTGATGTGTTGGACATATTTGACTACACCCAGGGAAGACACCTGACCTCTTTGTCGGGTAAAATTCGATATTAGATAATATCATATGCCAGGCAGCTGTATAACAAAAGCATTGTGAATATGAACGGAATCGTTTAACAATGGCAAATGTTGACGTTGCCTAAGGCTCCTAATACACAGTGAATATGTCAAGGTAGTAATAGGATTTATACACATTGCATGTATCATGGCAGTAATATACTGAATACACCATGGGTATGTCAGTATAGTAATATGGTTAATACATTAAAAGAACGTGTCAGGGTAGATATATTCTGATACACCATAAATATGTCAAGATAGTAATATGCCTAATACACTATGAATATGTCAATATTCATATGCAGTAATATCCTTATACAACATGGATATGCCATGGTAATATGGCTAATACATCGTGGTAGTAATGTGTCTAATACACAGTGAATATGTTAAGGTATTAATACGCCTAATGCACAATGAATATGTCAATGTGGTAATGTGGCTAATACACTATGGATATGTCAAGCTAGTAATATGCCCAGTACACCGTGAATATGTTACGGTAGTAATATGCTTAATACACCATAAAATATGCTAAGGTAGTAATATGGCTAATGCACAATCAATATATCAAGGTGGCAATATGGCTAATACACCATGGGTATATCAAGGTAGTAATGTGCTTAATACACCATGGATATGTCCATGTGATAATATGGCTAATACACAATGGATATGTCAAGGTAGTAATATGCTCAATACACAATGGATATGTCAATGTGGTAATATGGCTAATACACAATGGATATGTCAAGGTAGTAATATGCTCAATACACAATGGATATGTCAATGTGGTAATATGGCTAATACACAATGGATATGTCAAGGTAGTAATATGCTCAATACACAATGGATATGTCAATGTGGTAATATGGCTAATACACAATGGATATGTCAAGGTAGTAATATGCTCAATACACAATGGATATGTCAATGTGGTAATATTGCTAATACACAATGGATATGTCAAGGTAGTAATATGCTCAATACACAATGGATATGTTAAGGTAGTAATATGGTTAATACAAAATCAATATGTCAAAGTAGTAATATGGCTAATACACAATCAATATATCAAGGTACTAATATGGCTAATACACCATTGGTATGCCAAGGTAGTAATATGGCTAATACACCATGGGTATGCCAATGTAGTAATATGGCTAATACACCATGGGTATGCCAAGGTACTAATATGGCTAATACACCATGGGTATGCCAAGGTAGTAATATGGCTAATACACCATGGGTATGCCAAGGTACTAATATGGCTAATACACCATGGGTATGCCAAGGTACTAATGTGGCTAATACACCATGGGTATGCCAAGGTACTAATATGGCTAATACACCATGGGTATGCCAAGGTAGTAATATGGCTAATACACCATGGGTATGCCAAGGTACTAATATGGCTAATACACCATGGGTATGCCAAGGTACTAATATGGCTAATACACCATGGGTATGCCAAGATACTAATATGGCGAATGCACATGGACATTTGAAGGTAATATATATGTCTAATAAACCATGATTGTGGACGACTGGGAAAAGATTTGACACCGGTCACGAAATCAGTTCGTATCGACCAGGGAGTACGTGACCATATTTAGTCAGATATATAATGCAAAACGAAATAGGATCCAAGGGTGCATCGATTGTGGCTCTCATGTCGCAGATCTCTATCAAACTAAAATGTTTTTTCTCTGATTGTATAGTCGCTGCTCCTATCATATTTCAAAAATATGTTATTCCATGTTAAATTGTTATGTCATTGCTGGCTAGAGACGGGATCACGTTCAACTTCCTGCTGCTGTACACAATCTGTGAGTGAGTGAGTGAGTTTAGTTTTACGCCGCACTCAGCATTATTCCAGCTATATGGCGGCGGCCTGTAAATAATCGTGTCTGGGCAATCCAGTGATCAACAGCATGAGCATCGATCTGAGCAATAGGGAACCAATGACATGTGCCAACCAAGCCAGCGAGCCTGACCACCCGATCCCGTTAGTCGCCTCTTACGACAAGCATGGGTTACTGAAGGTTCATTCTAACCCGGACCTTCACGGGTTCACAATCTGTACTGGCTACAACGTCTAGGGACGACGATGGGGCGGTGGGGTAGCCTAGTGGTTAAAGCGTTGTCTCGTCACGCCGAAGACCCGGGTTCGAATCCCCACATGGGTACAATGTGTGAAGCCCATTTCTGGTGGCCCTTCCCCGCGATGTTGCTGGAATATTGCTAAAAGCGGCGTAAAACCAAACTCAGTCCGTCAGTCAGTCTAGAGACGACAGTGCCAAGGCTACATGTGGACTTAATGAGTCTGTTATATGTAAAACAGTCTGGGTTTGTCCCATGAAGAAAGGTTATGATGTGTGTCTCCAGCAACCCCTTCTCGTCGTAAGATTTGAAGTGGTTGGGCTCGCTTACTTGGTTGATTGATTGATATGTGTTCATGATGCCAATCACTGGATTGTCTGGTCCTACTTGAATATATACAAAGATTGATAATTGCTGCAATGGGACGTTAAACAACAAACAAAATAGTAGGCGTTCGGTTTAAAGTAACATATGTTATATTTGGGATTACATTTCTAAGTAAAGACTACCAGTTGTCCAACTTCCATTTTCTATGCTTGTCGTAAGAGGCGACTATGCTTGTCGTAAGAGGCGACTAACGGGATCGGGTGGTCAGTCTCGCTGACTTGGTTGGCACATGTCATCGGTTCCCAATTGCGCATATCGATGCTCATGCTGTTGATCACTGGATTGTCTGGTCCAGACTCGATTATTTACAGACCGCCGCCATATAGCTGGAATATTGCTGAGCGCGGCGTAAAACTAAACTCACTCACTCACTCACACATGCACGTTATTTGTTTGTCAGTTAGGCATACACACAAACGTAGTGGTAGCGCACTGTGTCAGTAGATGTAAAGATGTTGAAAGTACTGTCGTCGAAATGAAGGCGTAAACTTTGTGCAGTAAAAGTAATTGTGTTCTGATATATTGTGATACCTGAACATGATTACATGGATTATCAGAGGAATGCCTACAAAACATACATGAAATGAACTCGCTACAGCCTAGTATGCCTTTAGTTGGTTGCTTGGTTTGTTGTTATTTATTATTAGTATTATTATTATAGGATATTTATATAGCGCAAATATCCACGCAACTAGTGCATGCTCAAGGCGCTGGTATTTGTTTTCCCTCAATCATTTGATGTCAATCTCAACGGCACATCGTATTATCAATCTCAACTCCCTGGGAAGTATACAACTCTTGCAGCCACTAGGCGCATCGTGTTAGTGTGGCTTTCCCATCCTAACGAGGAGCATTGTTGTTTTATATTCAGCCTATATAGACCAGATAATCCAATGATCAGCATCATGAGTATCGATCTACACAACTGGGATACGATGACATGTGTCAACCAGGTCAGCGAGCCTGACCATCCGATCCTCTTAGTCGCCTCTTACGACAAGCATGGGTTGCACAAGACCAATTCTAATCCACGGGTTAGTATGCCTTTAACAAAAGCACATCAATATTGACTGAGCCCTTTGTGCTCTCAATTCTCAGGTGACGATGAATATTTACTCACTCACTCACTCACTCACTCACTCACTCACTCACTCAGACGTTTCAGTTTATGACTGACAATCTTACCACTGTCAGTATGTAACATTGCCTTCAATACCCTCTTACTAGGAAATAAAACCCATTCTATTGACTTTTAGAACAGACCTGAGTGTAGATATATACCTAGAAAGGGCTCTATATGATCACGCGTGAGCCCGGGTTCCGGGTTTTTTAAGTCAACATAATGGGCGCCGGGGAATTTTACTGTCCACTTGGCTCCGAGTCTTTGTTAGATGATTGGACTGTATACACTCGGCAAATACTTTACTTCAGGATATGTGTGATCTTGTATCAGCTTGTTATAACGTTGGCATGTCTCACTGCACCAACTTGTTTGGAGATATTGACACAAACGTTTGATTAACATCGCAACCTATCAGGACAGACAACTAACAATACACACGATTTTACAATAGCACAACGACAATAACATACATGCACCTGTCGCATATAGACGTTATCGCATCGTACTGGCGTCACACATAGATATCATCATATACATACTGATGTCACACACGGACATCATTATATATACTAGCCACATAAAGAAACTGTGCATTGTCAAAATATTATCCTCACACACGGACATCATCACATGCATACTGACGTCACACACAGTTAACATCATATACATACTGACGTCACACACAGGCAACATCGTATACATACTGACGTCACACACAGTCAACATCATATACATACTGACGTCACACACAGTCAACA